TTTTTACCTGACGGTAAGCTGTTGAGTGATGCGATGGAGAGGCCCATTTACTTGGATCAATTACTCCACCATTTTTTACTGACTGAAACGCGAATTCTAGCCGAACCACCAACCTGAAGGACAAGGAGACTGGACTTCATCCAACCTCTATCCTTGGACCTTCCAGGCATGATTGAATCTTCGGCTTGACAAAAGCCATCCGGTGTAGCTCGTCTGGTTAGAGAGGTGCACAAGCCATCGCACCACGTCAATGTGCAGTCTCGTCGTGATGCCCAATTGAGCTTTTGACCACTGCCACAACCAGGAAGGTGTGTGGTTCGTATACCTCTTGGTTGGTTCGGAATCAGGTTTTTTGGCCAAGTCCCCTAGATAAACTATCAGTGGTCTACCGAACTGGTTACAGCCCCGTCTGTCGGCTTTTCGTCCTCTAACGGTGAGAAAACGCAGCCACGATAGGACAGTGAGTTGGGCTTCCTCAGCAGAGGCTTTTTGAGAAGCCTGGTCGTATGAGGGCATTTCGCGAGATGCAAGGCAAGGGTGACCAGCTGTAACCCGAGGCACCCACCTCCGGCCATACTGAGGCTTTCGGAGGCATTGGTGGTAAGGTTACGTACATAGTGTTTAGTTGGCTTAACGTATTGTAGAACCATAACGACCTTCTGTTTCAGTCTCCAAATTGGAGAAAAAAAGTTGAGATAGCGAGAGCTAGCACTATACCTTGAGATTTCTCGTCGCACACCAGTCCTTTCTTTATACACCGTGGCATGATGGACAGTTGAGTGGAAGTCGCCAAATTTTCATATCCACCGAGCCTGTGATAGCTCAAACACGGACCTGCGGAGTCCCCTGCACAACCAAATTGGTTACCTGGCCCAGCTCAATCAGTCGGTTTCACGCCAATGAGTAGTATGTTCAACAATTCAACTTAGCCGGCTCCAGCGTGCTGGGACACTGCTGGAAAGATGTGCATTAGGTTTTTGGCCTCTGCTCAAGCAACGGCAGACAAATATCCACGAAATCATAGAGTATACTAATGTGGTAAACAGTTCTACTGTCGCCCGGGGTAGTGCCACCAACAATCTACTGCAGCTTAATGTGTTTCGCCAGTCCCACTCCCGTGAATAGATTGCCGATCAGGCCCTCAGAACTCACTGAACAGCACCATCATGGAAAACCTCACCAACTCACGCTACTCATTCCTATTCATACATGCTACTGACTAAAAGTCGCGGTTTAAACAGGACCATGGATTCCGTGCACCAGCACCTCAAATCACCATCTCCATTTGCCCTTTTTCTTACCTTAAATCAAATCTTTCACTGAGACACCATCTCTAGTTTCCTGACTGCACACATCATTTCGGTTCCAATATCGTGTCTATGCCTGCACCCGCCGCCCACATCTCCCCACGATGCCAAGCTCAATGCTGTAGGAATCTTTTGGCTTAGAAAATACACAAACCGCTTACGGATCGCAGGTGGTACTTGATGTTGTTAACCTGATAATGAGTTTCTCTTAACGTCTAACTTTTAGGCCCATTCCCCTCGGGCGGCAGCTACAACATCCCTTTTTATCGCTTTTACTTTGGATTTGGCTTATCTGAGTAGACCTTATCTGTACCCACTGCAATTTTCGCCACAAGTTCAGATCCCACTCGACCAATCATCCGTGTCAATTGACTACTCCTGGGTCACACACGACTGTCTTCCATTTCTCTTTTACCCCAGAGCACCCTCTTTGACATCTGTAATAAAATCTGTAACTTAAATCTGCTCAAAACCGGTAAATTGAGTGTTTCCTCTCTGCATCCTCCGGACAACACGTCTACCGGCCATGGGGTCTACTCCTTTTGTTGTAAATCACTTTACTTGTGCTGAAATCAGTATGGATAACCCAATCCTAACGGGTAAGTCCCTACCCGAATATTAAATAAATAAGTTCCACTGACGGTTTCGAACAAGGACACTGGTCCTAAGGTTTTGCAGTCCTGTGTGATATGTTATCATTGTATAATGGATCACTTCACCGTTTCTCGCTGTACGATGATGATGATGATGACTATTCAGGATGATGACCTGTTTTCGTTGGTGTGTAAAAATGCATTCATCCTGGGTTGGAATCTTAAGACATTTGGTGGTTATTTCAGTGTGTATTCCCAAAGGGGATCAGGCCTTCATGTGTCTCTTTCAAGCATTTTCATGATTGAGTTATAGGTTCACTCAGCATGATGAATAATTTACAGGTGAACTGTTTTCAGTGGCGATGGTACCTACTTCGCTTACCGAGTGGTCGTCTGTCGTCATTCGCAGTCAGTGTGTTCGATCTGGAACTCTCTACCATCCTACGTCGTCTGTGCTCCAAGCATTGAGTCTTTCAAACTGAGGCTCAATGAAACACTAGCACATCTTACGTTCCAACATAAGTGAAGCTGCGTAAAGCAGTGGAAAACGCACGTATCACGTGGCATTTTACAAAAAGATTTGTATGTATCACTGTTTCCTAATTCACCGCACGAACCTATGGGACCAGAAAAGCCTGAGCTTGTAAGTTATTCCCATAATAAATCTTTGAATTCAACGTTCACACCTCCCGCTTCAGAGCGCACTCGTCACTCAGCAAAGTAAACTTACGTTTGTGATTGAAATGATGACGTGCCACGGCCTCATCATATAACTGTGATGCGGTAGTGGTTATGAATACCTTGCAATGCGTTAAATGTATAGATCTGATGCAATGCGCGGAAACCAAATGTGTTATTTCTTCGCCAGTTGTACTGCAAGAATATACGTGCGTAGTGTTTTTTTACCCCGAAACTGGTTCTGATTTTTCTTTTCTCATTCAGGATTCCAAAGCAGAACCAGTGCCCCATGGGATGCCGAAGCCGGTACCACCGAGTCAGAGCCCGAAACCTAATGCCGCTTTGTCGGATTCGGCCGTACCCTCATCGACCAACGCGCCGTACCCAACTGCAGTTCCCGGCGCATACCCCCAAACGGGTGCATCTCCTGTCCCTCATCGGTTCCCACAATCGGGGCACACTCAGCATCACTATCCGCCTCCTCCAAGTTATCCACCGACAGCAATGTCTCCAGTGGCCCAATCTGTGTCCATGTCACCACAAAGGGGCCCGACACCGTTGCAACAGCAGCCAACACAAATACCTGGTGGACTACCCAAAGCCTCACCTTTGACACAAGCAAAGAAAATGTCCTCATCTGGCTCATCCACATCATCTGCATCGTCCGCCTCTTCGACATCATCGAAGAAAAAGCGCTCTGACCCAGGGGCAGTCGCCAGGGATAAAAAAGGTTCAGCTGATGGTACTATGTCTTTACCTGGTGGTCCGCCTGAACGTCGTGCCCCGATGCCAGTTGAAGGACCACCCGAGCAAATTCGGCCTGGAGAAATGCCTGTACCGGGAGGTGAGTATATCCAGCCGCCCAATATGCCTATGGGAATTCCTCGTCATCCCGGTCCTGCGTATCCGCAGCCTCCATCAAACGTCCCCGCTGTTGGAGCCATGCCTTGTCATCCCATGCCAACAGGGCCCCCACAGGGCACTTTTGGATATGAGCATGCAGTGTCTGCTGGCTCTGGTATGCCCCCGACAGGCTATTACCATCATCCCGGAGGCATACCGCAATCTGCTGGTCATCCACCGGGTTATCCTCCTCATATCCGACCACCTTTTGGGCAACATGGAGGTTACCCGGGTCATCAGTATGCTTCTTCGCAGTCGCAACACACAGGAGAGCATCCGCCACCACCACCAATGTACGTACAACATATGTCACAGCAACCGCATTTGNATGATGGGTGGACCCGGTCAGCATCCTGGTCAGCCTCATCAGAGCTCAGTTATCGGGTGGCATCAGGCAGGTGGCCCCCCTGGTTACCCATCGCAATATGCCCCTTCTAGGTATCCGGGGCCAGGCGGGCCCGTTGGTTATCCACCCCACGCAGCACGCCATACTCCTACGGGCTATGTGATTCCACCTCACAATGCGGCACCCCATCCAGGTGCGCAACACCCGCATCAACAAGGCGTTCCGGTGTCATCTTCTATATCAGAAAGTAGTGTTTCTGGTCAACAGCAAATCCCTGCTCCTCCACCTTACCAACAACAGCAACAACAACAATCGAACGTGCCTCAGCCCTATTGGTCTGGGCCCCATCATATCCCTCCGGAATATGGGGGTTCAGGTCAACCTCCATCTCACCAATACATCTCCACTTCGCACGCAGATGGAGCACCTGTTGCGCACCCTCCAACTTCAGTGGAAAGTATGGCACCAGTGCATCCGCACTCGGAATCAGGACCGGGACACGCGAACGCCCCACCACACCAAAGCAATATGTATTATCCGGGTAAGAATGCACTTCTGCCAGCGCCCATAGAATCTGAAAATTTTAAATCTTTCACTGGTTTTCTGTTCCGCTATTCTCTAAGTAAGCGATGAATTAGCTATACTTTACTTCAGTTTGTGCGTTGCCTAATTTTATCATCCATTTCAGCATTGTTTTAGTAGTGCATTGAGTCCGAATATACGCTATTTAATCGGTGTTGGTCCAGAATAATTTCAGCTCCTCCACGATGTGAGGGCACCTTGACTTGGTGTGATGGCTTGTACACGTTTGTGACCAAACGACCTACAGGTGATGGCTTTTGTTAAGCCGGAGATCCATTTCTGCCTAAAAGGTCAAAGAGTAGAAGTTTTACGAAGTCCAGTCTTCTGGTTCTCCAGCTTGGGGGATAGGGTGGCGTCTCAGTCGGTAAAAATGGTGGAGTAATTGATCCAAGCGGTTGGGCTTCCAATTCGTCTTAACCGCTGCCTTGCAGTCAGATTCATATTGGAACTAGAGGTTTTGGTTTAGAAATTAATCGTTGCTTGTTAGTTGAACTCCCTAGCAGTGTCCGTCAGAAAAACTACAAACTAAAAATGAAGCCCACTCAGCAGATCAGCGTGGAGTAGGAATCGTATCATGATGGATGTGGCAAATCATCAGTTTTATTGTGTATAACTTTTGCAAGCACTGGAGCTCAAATTTGAGTT